AAAATGCCGGAGCAACTCACCAATAACAATCCAAATAAAAGCAAAAAAAGAACGCTTTAAAAAAGGGTCTGGCACTTCAACCCTAAATAAACCACAAATCACAAACATCACTCAAAATGCAGGAGTAACTCACCTATAGCAATCTTAGAGAGGAAAGTCGCTGTGCTTATGCCGCTGCTGGCGTCGGGGGCCGAGGAGCGTTTGGTCACCAAGACGCGACCTTCGAAGAGCCGAGCAAACCCTTGCAGCTGCACCAACAACAAAAAACTGTGAATTTAACTTGAACATTAAAGCCTTAATAAATAAAAGTATTGTAAAGCAACACTCATGCAAGTAAAGACACTGGAAAAGTTCAGGTTTAGGTTTTGCTCACATACTAGTAATTTTAATTCTTATAATACTTTCACAAAGAATACATACTTTTATGGAGGGTGCATACTGAAGAACATAATTTTATGGAGAATAGGTTAAAACAAAAAATGCAAATCCAAAAAGGTTGCATGCTACTGGCTTCGTATTAATTAACATAAATCTTTTACATGTCAGCTCTCTAGCATAAATTTGGGCCCGATCTTCAAAAATAAATTCTAGAGTTCTAATTCAATGCAGAAATTTGCTAGCTTATATAGAGGTGCACGATATGTAAATGCAACCAATATCTCAACCTGATGATGTCACCAGCAGGACGTTCTTTCGACATTATTCTAAAACTGTCCAATACATTAAATAAACTCATCACAAAAATGTTACCCCAACAAAAAAAAAATATAACTCAGTACTCACTGCAGTGAGTGACAGAGCGAATTTTCTCGTCGACGAAAACGTGAAGTCACGGACAGACGGACGGACGGACGGATATGACGAGCACAATCGGGCATTTATTCCATAAATGAGAAAATGCGCAAAAAAATGATGGGGTAACATTTTTGTTATCCCAGCAAAAAAATCTATTAGCTAGTGCATACAAAGCAGAATCTGGCTTGACCTTGTGAGCAAGCTTGCTGGCGTCGAGGTAGCGCAGCAGTGCCGTCAGGTTGATGTTATCGAGGCGACAAGCTGACAAGAACCTCGGCACCGTCAGCAGTGTGCCTGTGATCAGGTCTTCTGCAGCGACGCTACGCTTCTTGTCTGCACAAATATTAAACATGGATAATAATTCTACGTGTGCCGGAAGAGGGTACAATGGCCCATGAATAAAAAAAATATAACTCAGTACTCACTGCAGTGAGTGACAGAGAGCGCATTTTCTCGTTGACGAAAACTTGAGGTCACGGACAGACGGACGGACGGACAGACAGACAGACATGGCGAGCACAATAGTGCATTTTTTTATAAATGAGAAAATGCGCAAAAAAATGAAATAAAAAGAACAAAAATGCAAATGTTGTGAATCAATTTTTAAATCAATAAGGCTCTCATTTAGAAGAACTTTATTGATTATCTTCAAAAACGCCGTCCAGTGCATGTTAGGTCTGGCAAAAAATATTAACACAAGAAACAAGATTCGTTAAAATTGAATTAAAACATATCAATGCATTTGACTTGAACATTAGAGAACTTGGTCAGAGTTAAAGTTGCATGCCTCACTGAGTTCAGGTAGCATGTCTCACTGAGTTCAGGTTGCATGTCTCAC